CCTAAAAATAATCGATGTAGTAGTACTCTAAAGTATCCCAGTGTAGAAACCATACAAGAAAGAATTCTAGGAAGGCTCAGGCAAAAACTGGGGTATAAATTTAATAGTATCCAAAGGTAGAATTATATGAAAATAAAATAAAAAATTATGCTTTTGGATACTACCGCCGATAGGCAGGAAAGAGATCGAAAAGGCAGAAAGATTCAGGAGAATACACGAAAAAAGGTATGAAAGCAATATAGCCTGAACTAATTCAGCACTTCGTATCTCATCCTCGACAATCAAAAGGGTCACGAAAGGCAGGATTGCAAGAATGGCACAACATCAGCACTTTGTGCCTCACCAGCAATCAAAAAGTGAGTGAATGGATTGTAGTACATCTTTAGCAAATAGATGGATTGCAAATTCAGCATTTCGTGTCTCATCCGGCAATCAAATGGGCATCTCCAAACCTCTAATTAACCACTGCCTCGAATATGACAGGAAGGTAATGGGGAAGAGCCCGCAACCCAAGGTGCAGTAAGACGCAGAAAATTAGCAATCATTCCAGCTAGCACATAAATTTGGCCAATACTATCTTATAATTTCAGTCAGATCTTTGGATGCAATAATTCGATATTCAAACCAGCATAAAACTGATCTGAAAATGGAAAATTAATAGAACTACACTAGCTCACTGCCAGTTCCATGACATCTTCAGGATACTACCAGGTTACTACCAGGTCGCTACCATAGCATTAATTTCTAAAGATCAGCCAGAAATTATGCCATAGTGCCAGCCAAATTCTAATCCACAAATTAACTGTGCCACCTGATGCGATATTTTTTACCACATATTGGCATCTAGAAAGGCAACCAAATAGACACGAATTCTTAATAAAGAGCTAGTATTCAAACTAGCATAGAGGGCCGGCATCCTCATTATAGAATCAGGTATTCAAAGAAGACTGGAAAGCCAGAACTAACAATATAGATTTTGTTATGTAAATGTATTAGGAACAAGAAGAAAGCAGTCACTATTAGATCATGATATCACCATTAAATTAAAGTACTACCAGTTACCATTAGACTATGAAGTTACTATTATATTATACAGGAAACAGTTAAAACAATATTATAAATGTAAAAGAGCTACCCATAAGTATGTTATGAAGCCCCTATCAGATTATGAATAATAGGTTATGAAGTTACCACCAGATCATGAAATTAGATTATGATATCATCGCTATATTATGAAGTTATCAACAGATTATGAAGTTACTGGCAGTCTATAAAGTTACCAATAGACTATGAAGTTGCTTTCATAACCTAGTCTAAGTCGCATATGATTTCATAATATAATTATATTATAAAATCACATACGACTCATATTTCAGTCTTAGTATCATGTCATAAATGTGAAAAAAAGCAAATTATAAAAATCATTAGCATAATTTTGTTAGAATAGATAATATCAATGATTGGTTTATTATGTAAGATCTAATTGAGCATTGTCAAAATATGTTAGAATAGAAATGCTACAATTCAGACATTTTATGAAAATAATTTATAAAGCAAATTAGTGTAAAATGGTCTGAATTATTATATTTGTCATATTTTGATTTTATAAAATATATTACAATCGATCTAATGCATTGTCTATTTTTTGGTATTGCATGATAAATAGTAAAACGACTCTAGATTAATAAAGGATTTTAACATTAAATTTACTGAATAAGATTTAGAAAAAGATAAACGAGTTTCAGATTCTTTCTGATCTGGGTCAAATTCTGGGTAAAATTCTGGGTAAAATTCATGAAGAAGAAGGATTTTCTAATTTTACGGCTGATCAGTAGTGAATATTTTTTACTGTATATGTTACTGTTTCACTTTAAGAATATCTTCTAATTGTAGATAGAAAGATTTTTACACATTTCATAAGGATTTATACAATTTTAGTAAGCTGGATTGTAGAATCAGATCTATTACATAAAGCATATCGAAGATTAATTGAAATGGTAAAATTGATTGAAAATAATTACAGATACAATAAAATTATGCTAAATCTTCACCTTTCTCTCTATTTATATGATTGCTTAAGAGACTATAGTCTGTTATATGCATTTTGGTATTTTTCTTTTGAATGCATAAATGGAATATTAGGTATTTTTTTTTGAGAATTTCTTGAATAAATCAGTTTACTAATTTATGAACGATTTTTAGGTTCTTTATCGAATAGTAATAGAAAAATCAAAACTGAGCTAATGCATCGATTGATGATTGATATTCAAATCGAAAGTATTACAAGTTCTGGTAGTATTAAGGTAAAAGGGCTTGAATTGTTAGACAATCAGCCTTCAATTAGTTTCCTTTCAGATATAAACGAATTTTCTTCTGACGAAATCCATCGATTTTGGATGAATTTATGAAATATTAAGGAATCAAATATTACTGGTAGTGAACCATTTCCTGGCGAATTCTTTAAACTATCATCTGATAATATAATTATTTCAAGCAAAATGCTTGATTTGATAATTAAATACTATAATGTGACTTATATCACGTTTGATTTTAGGAAGCCATTCGATAAGGATTTAGAAGATGGTATAATGATTCAGATCAAAATGAATCAATTCAGAAGGTACCAAATTAGTTTTAAAATCTTTAAATCATTGATGTCTTTGTGATATGTAAAAAATTTGTACATTTTAGCCAAATTTATTATAATGATGGTACAGTCAATTGTTATTCTGGCTAAATCCAATATTATTTTACACATAAGGTCAATTTGTCATCCAGAAAGGCTGAATATTTTCTAGCATTTATTCATTGATATAAACCTGCAAGTTCTCCAAATATGTGGTATTATTTTAGTAAAAAAAAAACATGTAATGTCGAATTATGGGATACTAAATTTTATCTAAAAAATCATGATTGTATAATACCAGTTCAGCATATTTTAAGTCGATTTGTACTGATTAATTATCGAATTTTAGCCTAGCGAAATGTAAAAGAATATTTAGCTATTAATCTAATTAATAGAAAATATCATTTGTAAAAATAAATTGAATGTTTTTAGCATTATTTAGCTGTTAATCCTAAATATCAGTTATATTTCCTTCTGAATTTTATTTTATTTTAAAATATTTTAGTTTATTTTTGATATATATCAATTGAATATAAATCAGATGTCAATTGGTAATAAATAAAATAGGTTGAATTTTAGCTGATTCTTAGCTGATTTCTAATATATGCCAATCAGATATAAATAGGCTATAAATAAGTTAGATTGAATTTTAGCTGATTTTTAATGTATATCAATTGGATGTAAATCGAATGTAAATCAGCTATAAATAAGATAGGTCAAATTTTAGCTGATTTTTGACGTATGCCAATCAGCTATAAATAAGATAAGTCAAATTTTAGCCGATTCTTGACCAATTTCTAGTGTATGCCAATTAGCTAGGCTGATTTTTTGATAATTTGCTAATTTTAGGCTGATTTTAGACCAATTTTTTGTATGTCAGATTTTTTTGATTTTGACCAGTGTAATATATTAATTTTTATTAATTTTATTAATAAACTATTTCTATTATATGATATTATATATTATTATTTTGTAATATACTATTAATAATAAATTTAAAATAATAATATACTATTAATATACAATGCTATATTGTATTTAATGTTATTTGTATTTTTCATCTAAAAATAAGAAATTATTACTAGCCTTATCAAATAACATCATTCTCATATTATTTAAAGAATTACCATAATGTTTTATTTGAAATATCTAAATAAAAATAAAAATAACATTAATATTGCTATTAATATTATTACAAGTTCTTTCTATTAACATATCATAAAAGAATTATCAAAAACTGTTTAATAATCTAAAAATAAAAAAAAATGTATTAATATTTAATATTATTAACAAGTCTACTTGAATAATATATTACAAAGAATTAATCTAAGGATCTAAAAAATAAAAAAACATTAATTTACTTTAATAACATCCATAAATAAATAATATTAAATTATGAACTCTCCTATTGACATATTGTAAAGAATAATTAAAAATTTTGTCTAAGAATCTAAAAAACAAAAAAAATAGATTGTGAAGAATTATCTAGAAATTTAAAACATAAAAAGGCATTAATTTAGTTTAATAATGCCATTATCATTTACTTAAATAAAAATCCGATTAAACTATGATCTTCCTATTGATATACTACAAAGAATAGTCTAAAATCCTGTCTAAGAACCTAAAATACAAAAAAAGAGAAATACTATGAAGGATTATTCAGGGATCTAAAAACTAAAAAAAAAGGCATTATGAGAAACAAACAATATTTCTCTTCATGATAGGTCTTTTAGGTATGCTAAGGATATTATTAAACTATATAAATATCTTTCTTGTTTTATTTTTTAGGTTTTTGGATAATTTGAAATGATTTAAATTTTTTATTTGGATGGACATTAATGGTATTATTAAACTAAATTAATATTACAATGGGCAGGTTTCAGGTATAAATTCCATTTCTAAAAATATAATTTTACTATTGGCTCATGACTATCGCCTCATCAGATAATTTGGTGATCAAATAAAATGATCGACATTATGCATATTTCAGTTTTTTTTAATATATCTCGAAAATTTATTATGCTTTCCGGTCTACCAAATTAAGTGAACAAAATTGATTGAGAGGGCGATTTCCCCCTTTTTAACTGACGCAAGCCCATATAGTCCTTCGCTTACGCTCCGGACTAATAAAAATTAAGATCATGACCAATTAAATTTTCTACGATGTATTTTAGGATGGAGCCAAAATAATCTACTACATTTTTTCAGCCAAATCTAATTTATGATTTACGTTAAAATTACGGAAAAAGACTTTGCCTCGTCTTTTTATTGTCCAAATATAGTATTGATTGGTGTATAAAATTACAAATAAAATAATAATCGATTCATTAGATTCATTCTTATACAACTAACTTACTGTGTAATTTTAATCAAAATGGTTTATATCATACCTTCATTAATTGAAGAGAAAATTTCTCCTCGGGCAAAGGAATTAATTAAAAAATTGGATAATTTTGTTGAGGTCTGTCTGTAAACCGTATGGCTAGCGTTAAAATTTGATTAGTTATTTATTTAATTCGAAAATTATGTAGAATGAATGTGTTCCCGCAGAACCAATTTTTCATAAACAAATTGACAAAGGAGAAGATCGATGGAAGGTAAAATTAACAATTCATTTGGATCTAAACTTGTAAAATTAGATGATTTATGTTAATAATATATAAAAGTTCTCTTTAAAAACACGTATTTCGTAAATTCCTTTGAAATTATACATTGTGATCATAGACCGTTCCACCAATAATTGAAGAGCTAAAAAAGAAAGCTCGATCATTGGGACTCTGGAATTTATTTCTTTCTAAGAATTATCATGAAGGTGCCGGATTAACCAATCTCGAATATGCTCTCATGGCTGAAATAACGGGTAAATCACTTCGCATTGCTCCAGAGGTAATCCATTATTTATCAAGAAATAGTTAATACTATAATTTATCATTTATATAACGAAACTAATTGCAAGATAATTAGGCAATAAATTGCTCGGCTCCAGATACTGGGAATATGGAAGTATTTGCAAAATATGGAACGTTTGCACAAAAGTCAAAATGGCTCACTCCATTATTAAATGGAGAAATTCGTTCGGGATTTGCAATGACCGAAAAGAAAGTTGCATCATCTGACGCGACAAATATCGAAACTTCAATCTTACGCGTTGGTAATGCATATGTTATTAATGGACATAAATGGTGGATTTCTGGTGCTGGTGATCCAAGATGTGCCGTATTTCTTGTTATGGGAAAATCCGATCCGGGAAACGAAAACAAACATAGGCAACAAAGTTTGATTATTGTTCCAAGAAATACACCTGGAATAAATATTATTAGGCCACTTACAATCTTCGGTTATGATGATGCCCCCGAAGGGCATTGTGAAATCATCTTCAAGGATGTTAGGGTACCCGTTGAAAATATTATCTTGGGTGAAGGAAGAGGCTTTGAAGTGATTCAAGGGCGTTTGGGTCCCGGAAGAATCCATCATTGGTATATCTTTTAATCATTGATTTCACAGCAATATTTATGATATTTAAATTTACTCTTTAATTATATTAATCATTTATTAGTATGAGGGCAATTGGGGCTGCTGAACGAGGTCTTCAGTTAATGATTGAACGTGTTACAGATCCTTCTCGTCGTACCTTTGGAAAACTTTTGGCAGAACATGGAACTGTTGTTTCTGATATTGCAAAATCACGTATGATCATCGATCAGGCTAGATTTCTTGTTATTAATGCCGCGGATATGATTGATAAAGTAGGTGCAAAGCACGCTTTGAAAGAAATTGGAATGGCAAAGGTATTTATCCTACTTTAAATAAGTGTAAGATGTAGAATTTTTGCTTATGTATTTTATTTAAGTTATTATTTTGATTGTTGTAAATAATAGGCTATAGTACCCTCTATGTTGTTAAAAGTTCTTGATCGTTCAATACAAGCTCACGGTGCTGGTGGTGTAAGTGAAGATTTCCCACTTGCTGCTATGTATGCTGGAGGACGTACATTAAGATTCGCAGATGGTCCGGACGAAGTTCATATACAGCAAATTGGAAAATTGGAATTGAGAAGAGCAAGAGAGATCAAAAAGGCTAATGAAAAAAGATCAAAATTGAAACCCAAATTATAAAAATCCTATTATGTATTTTATATATAAGCATTGGTTTGTGTTTTTATTACTATTTATTTTATTTAATAAATTTATGAACACTTTTAGTGCCACTAACTACGGTGAATCAGGTGATCATCGGTTTCTCATTTGACAATTCTGTATGGCTTCTAAATTTTGGATCGAAAAATTTGACGTCTAAAATAGGATCGTTTTCGAATCAAGATTTAAAAAGTATTGTTACATGATCGCAGAAAGTATCATCCATTAAAGAGTATAAAGCCTGGCTAAATGGGGTAATGAGAAAAATTTTCACAATTCCAGTATTTAAATGACCACAAAGTTCTTTTATACTTATATAATCACTATAATTTTTGACTTTAAATACAAAAAAATAAAGACTGTTTAAGCATTGAAACTAATTAGGGAGCTACCCCAAATTAGACCCGAGTAGGGTGTGGGAGAATGTCCCTAGTTGTGTCACACATATATAATGCCGCATATGTGATATGGCGTGATTACATGGGGTAGGGTGCAGCATCACAACCCTATGTCGTTTCATAAGTCACGTAAAGTTATCAATTTTTTTTTTTACGCTTCGCAAAATTTAATTCGATTCTTATATAAATGCCTCTTTGAATTTGATTAAATTACATAGGAATCACATTACCTCTCCACCATTATATATGTTATATTCGTTAACGAAGTAACAAGTTATAATTTTAGAGCATAAAACGCGTTTTTTTTTTCCTCGAGTTACAATGCATCGAGCAAAGATCTGTTCCTTGATTGTAAAAATGTTTCGATCCGCTGTATATAAAGTTAATGCCAAAGGAACTGTCCTGAGAAGGTGGAGACGTGTTCGAATTTGTAATCATGTCGGTTGCCAATTTACCAAATTTGGACAACGTTGAAAAATTTTCTGATTGGACTACTTAACCCAACTATAAATTCTGTGCTTTATCTGTTGTAATCCTCCCCGTGATATAAAGATAAACAAAACCTTTTGTTAGTAGAACGTTTTGCAGAAAACTTTTATTCAACATTTTATTTGACAGTTGGGATAATTTAGTGTTACGAGTCATGGTAAATAGGGCCATTAAGAACATTGTCGATCAAAATAGAGTTTCTAGTTTATTTCGAGAGACTTTCACTGGTGAGATCTTGAACGCGATTACATGTTTTCCTGTAAACCTTCTATATAGATAATTTATTATGTTAACCTTATAATAGGACCTTCATGTTTATACCATTGGCTAATTAATCAGAGACCTGTAAGTTACATTTCAAAAATAATTTTACAATTCTTAAATTTTATACATTACAATCTTATGTAATTTCTATCGAAAAAAGAAAAGTTACCTTAGAAGAAATTTGTCCTACATTCAAAAATCTCGTAGAAAACCGGTAAGAACATCTAATTTTAATCTAAGAGAACGACGCCTAACACTTGAAGAATTGTCTAAGCGTCGTATACAAGAAGACGAAAACATTTCCACTAGGTTTTTATCAATTTGAATGAACGTCATTTGAATTTATCTTTATATAAAATTTTTGTTAAAACGATCTAATTTTTTTGATTAGTCGAGTTTATAGAACTCTTAATCTTACGATTGATGAGTTGGTCACAAATGGTAGGAGTTTCATGAAAATGATGATTTATTGATTTTAAATTAATTTATCGGAATTTTTTGAGATCAGCAAGCCATTCTTCAGAAAATAAACGCTTTAGTGCCGAATGTGAAGTTGCTCTTTTCGAAATAAAGGTCCGCTTATATCATGTTATTTCATATTTTTTTAAAAAAAATTAAGTCAATTGATAATTATTTTATCTTAATATTAATAAATGTAGAGAAAATTACCGACCAATGTTATGAAAAAACGTAAAACGAACACTCAAGATGAAGAATTTAAATTACTTCATCGATCAATTTCCCCCATAGTGGTGGATGAAAACGGTAATTATGTAAAAGAAACTTTCGAACTGAATCCTTACTCAACAAATACTGATGGAGACGATGTGGACGATCGGGATGTAGTTATAGGTTTCCGTTTGTATGTAATCAATAGTCAAACATGGCCACCTTTAAGTTCGGAACCTTTAAAGAAACCGGTTAATGGTGAAAAGAAAAAATATCCCTTAATACCTGTTGATTTTTCCGATGGTCGTCGAATTCTGTGTGCTCAATTGAATGCGTTAGAAGGTGGAAAGTTTTGTAAAGATGATCGATACGAACTTGATCTTAGATATGCACTTGAAAAAGGTCCAATAATAGATTCAAATTGGAAAATGAAGCTTACAATTGATTGGCAGTGTAGAGTACATCTCCCTTTAAAACCCACGATGCCAAAGCCAGTGCCTATCATTACTCAGAATGATGATCTACCCGTGACTTTTATATATCGCGTTGCTGATTGCGAATTACATCAGGCAGTAAGAGGGTTTCGTTGTCCATGGTGTATCAACCTTAATTTTAAGGATAGTACGTGTTTGATGCTTCATCTTCGTAATAATCATATGCATTTGAAATTTGGTACAAAGGTATTTCATTTCAAAATAATTTTTTTTTCGATAAGTGATAACATTTATTTCACAATAATAAATCCATCAGAGATGCAAAACATTTATAGAATGGCAAGCAACCACCAAGCGATCGCGTAATTGTTGTTAATTCAAACGATGATCTGTCAGAGTTGGAATTTTTTGATATTGATAAGCGCGAAGGTATCTGGAATCCAAAACCATTTGTGTATCCTGTAAAGCAATACACAACGCCACCAGTGGCATTATCATCATTGCCTTCACAATCATTTTATCATTCTCATACCTTCATGCCATACATTGGTGATGAAAATGTAAATGATTCTGAGGACGATATTTGTACTCATTGGGTGGAGCAGCTCAACGATGAGGTATATGTACCTACTTTAAATAATAATAATAATTATAATTATTATTATTATTATTATTAATCTATTATTAACTTTGTTATAGACGCTTGACGAAATATCAGATGTGAATGATAAAGAGAAATTAATGATGAAAATTTGGAATAGATTTATAGAACCACAAAAGTATGGATATTTATTTTTTTTATAAGGAATCATTTGTTGAATATATATATGATATTAAAATTCTTAATCAATTTAGGGGACTTGCTGATCGCAATCTTCCAGAAGTTTGTATTCAGTTTTCTAAGTCACGCGGTGATCAAATAATATCGTTGGATTTGAGAAATGAATTTGCATTTCATTTACTAAATATTCTCGAATTCCAATTGATTGATAGTCAATGTGTCGCCAAATGTTTGAGTTACGTGGATAAGGTTAATAATAACAAAAAATAACGATAATTTGTGCTTTGATTTTGAAATTATTATAAATTTGATGCTGGTGTATGGTTTAAAAGTAAAATTATATAAGTGAATATTTTAAATAATAGTTTGATTTATATTTTTAAAAAATTATTTGTTTCTTTCTAATTATAATACATAAGCGAGATTTACGAATTCAATTTTTTTAATAAAAACTATTTTACTTAACCTGTATATTTATATACATATCACTTAGGAGCGACATGTTCTTAGAATGATCTTAGGTATACGTATAGTGTTTATTTATGTGTCGAATAACAAATTCAAGTATAATCGTACATCAATTTATGATAGTACTTAAATTTTTGATATGACTGTATAAAGAATCCAATCACTTTTATACTTTTTACGTAAAAAAGTGTTTCATAATTACTTTAATCGAATTATATTATTAATTTATCATGTATTATTTCTTCTTTGTATAGTTTTTTTTTTTTTTGTTTTGGTGAAAACACAAAGACATGAATGAATCATTTTAGCTACAAAAAAAAAAAAAAAAAAAAAAAAAAAAAAAAAAAAAAAAAAAAAAAAAAAAAAAAAAAAAAAAAAAAAAAAAAAAATAATAATAATAATAATAATAATAATATAAAAATACAAAATAAATCCCATAGAAGCATATACTATACATACATAATATGTATCAAAATTAAACAATTGTAAATTATTACATGTAACATATAAATTACTTTTTACATCTCTAAAAAAAAATATGTGAAGGTGATAATTCTATAAAAATGAATGAATTATGATTTTATTCCCCTATATTTGATTGATCATTACCACAAATTGTATATGTATATTTATTTGATAACATCTATCAAAGAAACAAAAAAAATTTTTTTACTTAATTACGGGGAACACTCGCCCGCGTTTGATAGTTTTCTTGCGATCTATGGTACCTTCTCGAAAAGCTAGTTCTCCGAAATTTAAACAAGGGATTAGATTAGGTGGCAGTAATGACATGATATTAAAGTCAGCGTCGACGTTTTCTACAAATCCAACCGGTTTACTTGGCGTGACAACTTTTTTGGAAGGGGAATATTCATCATCACTCGTAAAATCACCTCTTCCATTGTTCTTCCCTGGCATTGAATAACTTTCCATTGAAACCATTGCATTCCGTGAACTTGAATCGGATTCATTAAATGAAGGAACAATACATTTTGTATGTGAACCATTGTCGTTACTTGAAGGAACAGGACGTTTGTTTGTAGGTGAAGGCGTGTTCTTTGATGGTGAGTGAACACGTTTTAGAGCAGGGGTAACGGAATTCTTATTAGATGATAAACTAGCATGCTTTCTGATCGAAACCATATTCTTGCCTACCAGAGTTGAAATCTTGCCAGGCAAATCATAGTCTAATGATTTTGAATTTCCCACATATTTACTTTGCTTGAAAGAGATGGCACTCGTACCCGATGAAATTGAGCTCGCACTAGGCATGATATATTCTACGCTTGTGGTGGGAATTTCTACAAAGTTACCCCACTCCTCAGGAATAAAGATCTCATCAAAGTTCACTATTGATAACGGACAATTATCAAATAATCTTCGAAGTTCGGATGCTGTAGTATGCCTCCTTTCAAATGGTTGAATTATAACTGGTAATATACCTCTACGTTTTTTATGGATTTTACTTTTATGAATCTGATCAGTAATTGCTTGAGATCGCGATGAAAAATGATTCTTATCCGATGATCCTCTGGGATCTTTTTTAACGGTCAACAAACATTTGTTAGATTTCTCTTGATAAGAATCTTGTCTCCTACTTTTGCTTGAATCATCAACATTCTTCTTCTTTATTCCTTTATCGCGATCCAAAGCCTGTTGGTTAACGGATCCTATAGTATCATTATTATTATTATCTATGACTTTGACATTGAGAGTTGATCTGGTGTCAACCCTTACATTATTGCTCGAACCATTCCTATGTAAAATTAATGGTTCTTTATTGGCTTTTTTCTGACAATTCGCGCAAAACCACTTTTCACCGTTACCAGATCGTTTATTTGCGATACTATCACTAATTTGTGGTTCATGACACGTTTGATGATAACCAACATTACAACCAACACATATACAAATAAAATTATAATATAAATCGGGACCACCACAAATAAAGCAAGTATTAAAATTATTTCCAACCCTTTGTCTTTTTATTGTATTAGACGAAGGATTGTCATCCTCACTTGATGATAGTTCTGGAACCCAAGTTTGCCAATCTTCAAACACGCGTGAATTATTTTCGCCGGTCACTGTACTGTATGAATCATCTGTTATCGTGCTTGAACTACACGATTCTACTTCATTCTCTGAGAGGATTATCTCATTATTATTCGTTTGAAATTTCATTTCACTTTCACTGTCAGAATCTGTTTCAGAATCATTTGAATCAATATTAAAATCCATACTTTCATCGGAAGAAGAAGGTGCTGCATTAGAAGGAGTTGTCGAAACGATAGGAACTGGTGAAGTAGACGCCAAACCAGCACCAGAAGTTAA